CTTTCAGCCATGGCTCAAACAAGAGCCATGTGAAGGCATGCTGGGAAGGATGGAATGTAGATGAGCGTAGCACCAGTCACTCACCATTTACTGAACACTTAACTACAAGCCAGGTGCATGGTTAATGTTGGAGGGGAGCATTTTCCAATTTGACTCTTGTAATAATCCCTGGAGGGAGGAACTGTTATTATCCCAATGTGACCAATGAAGAAACTGATGACAAGTGGTCAAATGGTGCCACCAAGTCTCAGGGCTCAGCACCCTTAGCAGAGAGGTCTGCCTTAGAGGTCATGTGCAGGCTGTGTGCAGAGTTAGTACTGAGTGGAGAGGAGAGAGGACTTCTAGGGTGGTGACCCTGTCCCTGGAAGGGCTTGAACAGACTGGATAACAGACTGGTGAAGGGACCATGGCAGGCATGTTCATGCTGGGATTCCAGTAAGTTGTGATGGTGAAGCTTTTGTTGTTACTGTTTTGTTTTTGTTTTAGCTTCTGGAGACAGGATTTCTCTGTTCTGGAATTTACTCTGTAACCCAGGCTGGCCTCAAATTCAAAAATCTGCCAGCCTCTGCCTCCTGGGTGCTGGGATTAAAGATGTATGCTGCCACCACCTGGTGGTTAATTCATTTTTTTTAAAGATTCACTTTTTGTTGGGGAGGGTGTTTCAAGGCAGGGTTTCTCTGTGGCTTTGGAGGCTGTCCTGGAACTAGCTCTTGTAGACCAGGCTGGTCTCAAACTCACAGAGATCTGCCTACCTCTGCCTCCCGAGTGCTGGGATTAAAGGCGTGAGCCACCACCGCCGGTCTAAAGATTTGCTTTTATTGTAGTGGTTGTTATGTTTTTGTTTAAATTAGATATAAAGAAAAAGAGGAAGAGGTGCAAGATGAGACACATTAGTAGTTTATTATAGGCCCGGCAGAGTAGAGAGACTAAGAGAGAAGAGAAACAGAGTTAATGGCTGACCACCCTGGCTGGGGCGGGGGAGAGAGAGAGAGAGCGAGCGCGGGAGAGAGAGAGAGAGCGAGCGCGGGAGAGAGAGAGAGAGCGAGCGCGGGAGAGAGAGAGAGAGCGAGCGCGGGAGAGAGAGAGAGAGCGAGCGCGGGAGAGAGAGAGAGAGCGAGCGCGGGAGAGAGAGAGAGAGCGAGCGCGGGAGAGAGAGAGAGAGCGAGCGCGGGAGAGAGAGAGAGAGCGAGCGCGGGAGAGAGAGAGAGAGCGAGCGCGGGAGAGAGAGAGAGAGAAAGAGAGAGAGAGCAAAGCAGGGAAGTTGGAACTTTTAAAGGGAAGACTGCACATTCGCATTGAGGTTCCAAGCATGCCCAGAGTCCTCACGCAGGCTGCAAATGCGTGGTGGGTGATTTAGTGATGGCATGTTCCTGTGCGTGCCCTGACTGTTGTCAGGGGGCGGGGTCTGTCTCTTAAAGAGGTAGAGGCGATCAGCATTAAAGCCTGAACCTTTCAGTGGTGGCACATGTCTTTAATCCTAGCACTTGGGAGACAGAGGCAGGTGGATTTCTGTGAGTTCAAGGCCAGCCTGGTCTACAAAGGGACTCCCAGGACAGGCTCCAAAGCTACAGAGAAACCCTGTCTCGAAAAACAACAGAAAAATGCTTTTATTTATGATCATGTTATATGTATGTGTGCCCACAGAGGCAGGGGAGAGGCATGGGGAGGGAGGAAGGGTGCCCAATACCCTGGAGCTGTAGTTAAGGAGGTATGGACTGACCAACATGGATACTGGGAACTGATCTTGGCTTCTCTGTGTGAGCAGGGTGTGTTCTTACCTGACAAGCCATCTCCCAGCCCTGTACTAGTTAACTTTGATTGACAAAGTTAAAATCACCTGGGAGACAGACTTTTGGGATGTCTGAGAGGAAGTTTCTAGGTCGGTTTAATCGAGTAGGAGAAACCACCATACATGTGGGCAGCCCCATTCCCCACCATACCCGTGGACACCCTGCTCACCCTGGCCCAACGCTTCTCCACCACAGACTGCCATGGCTTTTCTGGAGGCCTTGCAGCATTTATCATGACCCCTTCACCTCTGAGTAGGATTTCACTTGAAGATACTTGTTGGAGCACCCAGGACTCAGGATCCTGGAGCCTTACCTGACCTGAGAGGTCCTTCTACCCACAAGAAGGAGAAATCAGGGCAGGGCAGGTCAAGCCTCCCACACACCTGCCTAGGCCCCTCCCATGGACAGAAGGTGCTGTCCCTGAGGGTGTACAAGGGCATAGCAGCAGGGTGGATCTGTGGGTATTGGACAGGCTTGGGAGGAGCAGGGTCACTGGCTTGGAATTCCAAAGGATTTGCAAGTGGGGGCACTGGAATGTGGTTCTATTGAGAATGGAGCCATTTGGGCAGGGGGAGAGGTCCCCAGTCTGGTCAGGCCTGGCCCAGAGCAGGGTTGGGACGTGGAACAGGATGGGGTGGGGTGGGATAGCCACACGACTGGCTTCTAGCCCCAGTACAAGCCATTAATTAACTCATAGCCTGAGGTGAATCTCTTCACCTCCCGGCCTGTTTCCTCTCCTGGACACAGAGATAACAAAACCTGCCCAGTGAGGCCTGACAGTGATAAATGGTGTCAGCCTCTGTGGAAAGCTGCTCTGTATAGATTTGGTGAAGCCATGTTGTTACTTGGGGGTGGGTTTGGGGAGGGCCTCTCCAGTCTGACCTGAAATGTCACTCACAAGACAGGATACTGGATCCTGTCCACTCCTGAGGGAAGCCCAGGGGCCAGCAGCGCTTGATTGGAAGGAAAAGGGAGGGAACGCTCAGCCACTAATGTTGATTAATGAATTTTGGACAACATAGCTGACTCCATCTAAGCTCCCAGCCCTGACTTTTGAGGGACAGGTCCCAACACAGGGGCAGCTGTTACCCTCCTGGGCACTGTGCCCATTCAACAATCCATCCCTTCCTGTAGGAAGGCTGCCCTCTCACACTCTACCCTCTCCCTGGGAGAGGAAAATTCCTATAGTGGATGTGGATCACAGGCAGAGGGAAAGGGGCAGCCTGAGGGCCCCACTGGGCTGTGTCCAATTTCTGGGGCCTGTGTCTTGGACTTTCCCATTGAAGCAATGGTGACTTGTTCTGGGGACCCAGGGAGTCAGAGCTGCCTTTGAACCAAGAGAATGAGAATAAGTGTCTCGGAAGGAATGCAGCAAATCTGAAGTTGGGGGCCTCAAGAAGTTGGGGACAACTGTTGATTGTTGTCCCTCATGAACAGCTGGGCTCTCTAGTATGTATCTTGGCTGGGCTGGGATTTGCTATGCAAAGGAGGCTTGCCTTAAGCTCATCTACCTCCAAAGTGCTGGGACTAAAGTGCATGGCGCCATACTGAAATCTGTCTACTTTCAAAGTGGAATCCCATCATCACCTGGCTGGCTACTTGTCACATTGGCTCTGTGTCTTTCAGGTGCAGAGTGAGGCCCACTTGCTTAACCCAGCAGAGTGGTGGAGCCAGGGACAGAATCTGGTCTCTTGACTACAGCAGCCACCCCTCTGCAGTGTCTGTCGTCAGTGGAACGGGGGGTGTAGTTCAGCATAGTACTCATGAAGCCCTGGGTTCCCTTCCAAGGGGTACAGGGAGAGAAGCAGAGAAAGGGGGCAAGAGACTAGCGGGGAGGGGAAGGCAGTCTGTCAGCAGAACCGGTAACTGTTCAAGTGTGGCTAGGGTACGAAGGCTTGATCCTGGCACAGTCATATCTGCCCTCACTCTGCCCCCCCCTTCTTGACCTTGACCTTCCTGTGTACAGACAGACACTAGTCCTCCTGACTGGGGACCGCAAGAACAGGGGGCATGTATGCTGGAGGACACAGGGGCAGCACTGAAGCCACTTCAGGAGGATGCAGAGCCAGGAACACCCTGCTGCAGTGCTCAAGTGAATCAGTACTGCAGAGGGTCATCCCCCAGCTCAGAGATCAGCAAAGCAGCTAAGGGAGAAGGCATTAGTCTCCTCTGGATCCTGCTGGGTCCCAATCGAGGGGACTCTCTCAATCCTGCTGTGACCAGTTCTGTTCATTCAGGAGTGTGGGTAATGCCCAGTCAGGCAGGCATGCTCAGTTTAATCTCCACATAGAAGAGGTCCAAGAAAAGAAGCCAGATGGTGGCAGAGGGAAACCAGTAAGCCCCACCCTGGACTGTTGCCTTGATGAAGAGGGCCACACGATCACTGCACAGGGTAGGGAGCTGGCACACAGAAAGCACCCGGATAAAAGGCCTGTCTATATGTTTCTGGCAAACTGGCTCTCATCCTCGCTTAGGCAGCAGAGCTCATCACAGGGAGGAAGCACAAACAACCTGAGGACAAATGGAGTCCCTACCACAAGAGGGTACCAGGTAGCCTGAGTGATGGGGGCTGAGTGATGGGCCCCAGGGTGCCCCATCCTGGGGTGGTTCTCCAGGAAAGCTTCAATGACAAGCTGGAAGGCTGGTCAGACATCATATGGTTTTCCTTGGACTATTTCTTGGATTTTAGCAAAATTCTGTGTAAAGGATCTGGCCTGAGCTCAGCTGTGCTGGGGGTAGCTGAGGAGAAGTGTGATCTACCTTTGGGTCAACATATTAAGGGACTGCAGTAGTCCCTGGGGCTTGTCTGGAGCGGCTGCAGAGGAGTCTTGTGAAAGGGCTTTCCTCTCCCTGGTCCATTCCAGCCTGTATTGAGAATGCCATCTCTTGGGCACCTTCCCTCCAGGCTCCTTCTACATCTGGGCTCCCAACAACGAAGGGGGGTCTTGTTCTGGAAACTGTAAGTTTTAAACCGGGGCTTCTTAGAGAAGAAAAAGAAATGATCACAGACTTGACACCATCTTGGATTTGCCAGAATGAAGCCCCTATCTCTATTAGGCCTCCCTGTTGTGCCTATCTAGACCTCTGCCAGGAAAGACTGCACAAGAAGATAGCACTCACTGAATCAGAATTTAAAAATAATTATATTAATAATAAATATGTTAAGTTACATTTAAAACAATAAATAGAAAAATAAACTGATAAATAAAATCAACAGGTACAAAATGTTTCAAAACTCCAACCAAAAAAAAAAAAAAAAGGAAAGAAACACATACACAGACACAGACAGACAGCTGACAGACTAGACAAATGGACATTAGGAAAGGGGGGAAAGTGCAACCTTGGAAACCCTTCACAGTTTACACCATGGCTCCCTCCTCTCCAGCTCACCCTTCTCCTCTCCCCATCTCTGGGGACCGACACTCAGTGGCTGCCGTCTTTGGGGACTCCAGCAATGCAGGGAAACATCTGGTCTACCCCAGTGTCTTTCTGCAAAGCAGCTGTGAGTCCGGGCTGGTGGGTGAGGTGGAGGTCTCCCTGCAGGAGGCAGAGGCAGGCGGAGGACCAGCTCTACAGAGGCAGGTCCGTACTGTTGTGTCTAGTCTTCCTGACAGTGCCATCATCTCGGGGCAAAGCCCTCTGCAGGTTGGACATGGCCACGGTCTTCTTGAGGTCAATCACAGCATAGGAGTCTGAGCTTCGAACAGGGTGTGGGGTAGGCCCAGGAGCTCCGGACACGGAGGGGTTCTGGGACCCCTTGGGACGGTCTGTGCCCCAGCCCTTGAGCTCCACCTGAATGTAGTTGAGCTGCCTTGAGGGCTCAGGGCCTGGCCGGCGGAAATCGAAGTTGAAGACCCTTGGGGAGCCTCGGCGGCGGGTCAGTGGGACAGGGAAGCTGCTGTGGCTACGGGCAGAGGCCCGGGTGCTGGTGGGTTTCTGTAGGGGTGTTTCATCCTCCTCACCATCGGGGAAGCCATTTGAGGATGGTGTAAGCCCATCCCTGGAGTCCCCATCATCCCCGGCCTCCCCGCCCAGTTGCTGGACTTGGCTTTCCCACACAGGGGGGAGAGGGGGCAGGTTCTCATAGTGCAGCAGGGCAGCCCGACGGTGGGCCAGGCCACTCCACCCTGGCTCCTCTGGGCTCAGTCTCCAGCCAGACCCTTGCCGCAAGTTCCCCTGACTGACATTCTCGTAGGTGCATTTGGGCTGGGCTGGGCACTCAGAAGGGCCCTCGTTGTTGTTGTGATGGGAAGGGTCGTGCATGCTGGGGCAGAGGGTCTGGCACTTCACCTGTCGACGAGCAGGGGTGGGGCCCAACACAAACTTGACCTGCCCAGGCTGCAAGAACACCTGTGCATCCCGCTGGTCGGAAACCCGGGTCTGTGGTGGAAAGGGTGCCCTGCCCTCAGGCAGTGGCTGAAGGCAGTAGCGACTCCTGCGGTGGTCTTCTTCACCCCTTGGTGTGTTGACATAGGTGTGGGACTGTGGGGGGAGGGGAAGACGTCAAGTGAAGCAAGTGGGTTCAAGGACTAGGAGGAAGGGGAAGGCAGAGGGACAGAACCAGAAAAGACAGGAAAAGAGCCAGTTTCTTCTGCAGCCTCCAAACCTCCCAACATGCTGCCACCCTTCTGGGGGTAAGAAGGAGCCCTACTCAGTTTCTTCCCCTTCCCACAACCTTTCCTAGGCCCCCTTCCCACCTTGAGTGTGGCCCACCATATGCGCACCTGCTCATCAGAGCCAATGAGGGTGTGGGTGGACTCTTCCCCAAGCGATGGGTGTAGCAGGCTACTTGTGGAGGGTCGGCGGGGAGCAGAGAACCGTGGGCCCTCTCCAGGACAGCCAGGGTAGCCATTGGAGAGGCTGGAGATGGTGTAGCCTAGGGGTGGCAGCCAAGGGGAGAGGAATGGGAACCACCTGACCATCATTTACAATCACATGCACACATTTGTGGGGTGCCCTGCAACTCCTCCAACAGCAAGGCAAGACACTCTGAAAGCCCCTATTGTGACTCACCACACTGAACTGGCAGACCATGCAGTCGAACCCTGCCCTGTCTTCTGAAGCCATCCTGAGGCTATCCAGCTTCCTCCTCTAACACAGTCCTACTTTCAACACTGAAGATATACCTGTCACCCCTGGACCATCCCATGACCCCATCAAGCTTTGCCAGTGAGCACAAGGGAAACTCTACAACACGGGGGCCATTTCTAGCCTGTCTGTTTCTCACAGACCGGTGCCAGGGAACACAGAACAATAAGCAGCTGTGCAGTCTGACTCAGTGACCCAAAAGCACAGACTGTGGGAACCTCTACACAGTCACGGCCAGAGATGGCTGCATCAGAAAGCCAGGAGAGGTGCATGCTGTATGTAACCCAGCCCAGTAGACAGAAGGAAGCAAAAAGATCCAGACTGCTGTTTCTATGGCAACCTAACGTCTTCCTGTCTGCTCCCCAACCATTAGTCGACCCAAGGCCCAGGACTCTGCAGTTCCAGCTTGAGTCACCCAGTTGGCCCTGCCCAGGACTGGCCCATCCTCAGGAATGGTTCTGATGATGGGTGAATGTCCAGGACAGCTGGCTCAACCCAGCTGTCCCCTACCTGCTAGGTTGACTCGGGCCTCCCTGACTCATGCTCACAAGTGTGTACGCTAGGGTTCCGGGGGTGGGAGTCTCCTCACCAGTGGGCTGTGAGGGTCCTCGAGGGAGGTCGAGCTCTGGGGGGTGGCTGTTACGTGTGATGATGACTGGCTCTTCCATCACGTTGATACTGTTACACTGCATGAGATCCTGGAGCAGGTTGAAGATTTCCTCAGCCCGTGAGCACTTGAAAGCAAAGATACCTGGAGAAGGCAAGGAAGTGATGAGGCTCCTCTCACTCCTGACTGGCTAGGGACCATCAGTCAGTCAAAAGGAAGTGTCCCTGAGCCCCAGTCCCACACTGGTGCCTCTCCTTTCCTGAGTATCCATCCCAGGGGCTTTCCAGAATCCCAGGGGCACTGGAGGGGACAGGGATGAGCCCAAAGCACCTGGATCCCCCCACTACCCACTACTATCATCCTAAGACCAGCACTGCAGTCATATTCCCCAAGGTATAGCTGTCTTCATAAGGATGGGTGCCTTCTGGGGAAAGGGGAAAGTCAGAGAGTTGCTGTATCTTTCTGTACCTACCACTCCCTGCTCCCCAGAAAGAAAAAGAGCTTCATCCAGCATGTAGCTAACTCTACCCAATAGTCCTCTAAGGACAGCTGGGTCTGGCCTCCTCCCAGATCATTCACAGGATATTCAGCCTAAAGATTAGCCAGAAAACAAAGGCCTCCCTCTCTGCACATAGGTCCCTCACAGAGCATGGGTTCTGGTGCAAAAAGAAAATATGGGCAGAGCCCCGTGGCTCCTGAGTGCAGCTGGCCTCTAAGCCCTCCAAGTCAAGTCTGTCCCCAAAGTGGCAGGACTGGGGTGAGCACCTGGAATTCAATGGCTCTGGAGCTCTCAACACAGAATCATGGACTCAGGGGAAGCTCTGGGGACACCCTGTGGAAACATCCACAACAAAGATAGATATTACCTGGTATGGCACTATACACCCACAGTTAGTCACCAAGTTCAAGGGTAGCCTGAGCTACCCATGAAAACCTGTCTCAAAAAATCAGGGGCAGGGTGGAATCGTGGTAAAATATTTGCCTAGCATGCACAGGCCCTGGGTTTAACCAGAGCACCATACCCACACAATGACAGATATAATTAAACTGGAATGTGGACAATGGGTATCCTATTACTATTATATTGTTATCCATTAGTCCTTGTATAGGGTAACTCAAGTTTCTAGAAACAGAATGAGAAAGATGGGGAAGAAAAAAGGGCTATTCTGACAGGAAATGTAAAAGCTGGAAGAAGTCCTGTCACTAAGAAGAGATTATGACACCCAGCTCACCACTTGGGAGGTGAGCTTGGAGACCAGTGAAGGCCATCTATAACAAAACCATCTCAAAGTGGGGAGGGGAGGGAGAGGCAGAGACGGAGGGAGGGAGAGACGGAGGGAGGACGTGGGGGCAGAGAAAGCCTGGTATTGGGAGAAGCCCTGCACTGGGAACTCAGACAACCCATCTCAGGTGCCAAGTGCAGATCAGCCACACCAGGAGTGAGACTGCCTCTGCCTCATCTCTCTGCTCACGTGCCATGTTTTCCTGTACCTGTGAAATACAGGAATGAGACACATGCAACAAAAGGGCCCTACAGCAATCAACCCGGAGACTCATTAGTCTGTTGCTGTCTTAGGAGAGACACTGATCACCTATGCCTCTGTCCACCTGCAGCAGTCCCAAAGACTCTTGGTGCTGAGCCACATCTGAACATAACAGGCAAGCCCAGACCTCATGCCCTAACCTCAACCTCATGAAACAACGTGCCAGCCCCTGACCTCTGGCTAGACGGCACATGGGCAGGGGGAATCCAGTACACATCACTGCCCACGGGCAATGACAGACAAAGGTCAGGTTCTTGAAGGTTAGTCTGTATCTGAGAGACCCAAGCTTCTGCTTCCCCAGATCTCCACCCCAAGCCACTCAGCCTAGAGCAGCCAGTCTTCTCCTGACCTCTCTTCCACTATGTATGGAGTCCAGAGTGTATGACATGGTAGTTCAGGCTTTTTTCCCACTGCAGGGGCAGTAGGACCCCAAAACCATGGCAGCAATGGGAAGAGTGGTTTGTCTTTGCTAGGTAGGCTCTGACCTAGGAGCACTGGCTACTTCATGGGTTGTACCCCAAGTGTACCCATACAGGCTCCCAGGAAAAACAGCAGGGACTGAAGAGTGGAGAGTACTGGTCTGGGTCCACAGAATTCTCAAATAACAGGCTGTGGGCCCCAGCTATGGCCTTTCCCTGCTCTGAGCAACACCACCAAATCTGATGTCTGGTGGTAGAATGTTAAGGGCCATTCTCCACTTCTATAACAAACTCATGTCCCTGTCCTGGAGGGCAGAGCTGCTACTCACCCTGGCCTGTCTGACAGCGGCGGCCACTCTCAAAGGAGAAGAGGTTGGAGTCGTAGCCATAGCGCCGAAGGCAGAGGTAGGGCCAGCGGACAGCTTCCCGCTGGTGCAGGTGCAGCACCAGCTCACTCTGTGTCAGCTCCATCACCCCCGAGCCCAGCTCCACCCCTTCATCATCCACATTTGTCACCTGCAGGGAGAGTGGACACAGGGTCAGTAGAGAACCCAGGAAGTGTCTGCAAAGGACCCTGAGCCACCAGGAGGCAGTGTTGTATAGGGCTGGGGCCCTGATGCTGAGTTGCTCTTAGCTGTACCACAGGTACACTGGATCCCTTGGGTCACACAGAGCAGTGCCATGGGTCATGACAGTTCTCTGGAGAAATCTCATCTATGATCCACAGGTTTGTCATTTGCAGAAAGGAAAGAGTTCACCTGTTGACCTCAAAGACCAGGTGGTTAGCTGTCCAATGTTCAAGGACTTCCTGGGGCTTAATATTCAAAGGCCAGGGATATCAATGAGGAAGGGTTTAACTGTTAATTCAAAGTCTAAAGACTTGCTGACAGGCCCAAGGAGAACAAATACAGCCAGCCTCCAACCGCTCAACTGTGAGAACTTGCTGATGGCTCCCTCTCAGTTGGGAAGGAGAAACATTAACCCTAAGAAATCTCAGTGTGAGGAGAAGGCGCCTCCTACGGGATGTAGGGAACCAAGGTTCATGAATCACCAACGTAGCATTTCTTAGGGGCTATGCATGCTCTCTTTAAAACACATTATTCTTGGTGGTAAGAGTGGGGGGGAGAACAATCAAAAATAAAAAACAAGAGTTAGTCCCCCCCCCACTACCTCAGAAGTCAAAGAGCAAGCACAAGGTGCCTTAATGAGTCCACAACCACAGCCTGTCATTTCCCCTTCCCTAGAGATACTGGCAGCCTAAACTCAACAAGCCACTGAGAACGAGGGGGGAGGCTCTGGGTACCTTGAACTTGGTAGGGTGGTTGTGTGGCACGCTGTCTCTGTCCAGGCAGCTACAGCAGCTCCCCATGGTGTCAGAGCAGCCTTTCCACCCTAGGGAAAGACAAGGATGAGTAGCTCACCGGCAACCCTGCTCGGCAGCTCTGAGCAGAGCGGTGCACTGTGAACATATCCTCTGGACAAGAGGTTGCACAACACAGACACACCCTGAGGGAATTCTCTCTCAATCCACAGCCAAACACGCTTGGGATAAACATTAATTCAAGTTAGAATGAGTTAAGGATTCCTGCAGGTGGTGGGGGGGTAACAGTTAGTGTGGCACTGGGAAGCACACAGGGCTCCTACCTGTGGAGTGATATGGACAGTGTCTTGGGCTGCAAAGGCAGCATGGCTATAATGGTGTGGGGAGGGGCTGCCTCAGCTGTGTTGGATTCAGCAAAGTGCCACTTGGTGTCCCAGATACCGTCTTGTTGCTTTCTCTTTTCCTCAGCTTTTACCTTACCCATTCCACTCTATCCATGTTCTGACTTTTCTTTCATGCCCCACCCCAATTTCCACTGGAAACCAGTAATTCTGATGTTCTCCTCAAGTAAACTGTTGCTACACTGTGATCATAAAACACAATGAGCTATGCCGGGTGGTGGTGGTATGCACCCTTAATCCCAGCACTCAGAGGCAGAGGCAGGCAGATCTCTGTGAGTTCAAAGCCAGCCTGGTCTACACAGTGAGTTCCAGGACAGCCAGGGCTGTTACACAGAGAAAGACTGTGTGGGGAGGGCGGGGGGCGATAAACAAACCAATAAACTAAAACAACCCCACACTTAATGACTGAACACTGGAACTCACAGAGCTCTTGTCTCCATTTTTCAAGGGCTGGAGTAAAAGTGCATACTACCAGGTTGGGCTCAAACTAGCATGATTAAAAAAAAAAAAACATTGATTAGGTATTTCTTCACTGAGAAAAAAATTCTGGGGCTCAGCATGTAGCTCAGTGGTAGACTTTCATGTGAGGCACCAGATTCAACCACCAGCACTCTAAAATAACTACCAGAATGCTTAGTTTTCTTCCCAAAGGCCAAAGAACAGATAAAAGACCTTGGCTGGCTTTTCCCTTCAGGATACTTGTAATTGGATGACATGTCACAACAGACAGGTTTCTGCCTTAATATGGAGAGGAGACCTCGTAGACCTTAGTGACCTAAGGGAACAAGAAACACATGGACAGAGCCCAAACAAGTTACTACCACTGAGCTACACTCCTAGACTCAGCCAGCAAAAAACCATGAGGCAGCAGATTATCCCAGAACTGCTGCTGCTGTGGTAGGACCTTGAACAATCCAGCGACCTGTTCCCTACAATTCTCCCAAGTTAAGAAATCTACAAAACTGACACCTAGCCACAGTTCTTACCTCACCCAGGCCATTGGGGAGCTGACCATGGGAGGGGCATGGGAAAGAATTCCCACTTTACTCCCCCAGTCTTTGGTGGGGTGACATGGCAAAGAGTCTGCAGAGACGTCACCTGGATCCCTGTGGGTCACACCTGAGGCTCACCTAGCACAGGAGACAGAGATCACACATTAATGGAAACCTATCCTCAGCCCCTAACTCTCCATGAGACAGACTTGTTAGCAGTGCATCCCACCTGGATTTATCTGGCCTAGGTCCTAACAGAAAGGCCAGTGAACACAATCTCTGGTAAAGGTCTACAAATTCTCAGTCCCGGGAGGAACTCCCTAGGTCCAACGGCAGTGAACTCCGATAGCCCAGCACCTTTAGTTCACAGCCATCATTGGAGTGCCCTCTGGGACAGGTGCAGCTCAGACCATCACCTGACCCTTCTCTCTCAGAACAACAATATTAACAAATGCTAGTGCAGCAAGAGCACGAGTTTGAGCCTCTGAAAACCAACATTCACCCGCAGGAATGTTTTCCTGCTATGACATAGACATATCTGGGTGGGGGCTTGTCACTCCCCCCCCAAGACCTCTAACTCTTGTCCCCCGCCCCTCTTTAGGAAACATCTGTCAACCATGGGAGTTCTAGCTGAAGTAACTTCTAGAAATAGGTATTAATAAGGCACTGCCCATTTGAAAGCTAGACAGGCTTTCTGCTCCTAGTGCCAGGAAGGCCAGTTACAACAAGAGGCAAAGTTTCAGATTGAGCCCTAGGTAGATGAATTGACAAACCAGGACTCCGAAGAAAACTCTTGAAATCCCTCCTTCCTGTTCCAGGAAAACAGTACTTCCCGGTGTGTCTCCCCCCCCCCCCACCAGCCCTGCACCCTTGCACAACACTTAGGTAAAAGAATCCCCACACTCTTGGTCTGGCTTTGGAAGGAGGTGTGTGCAGGCTAAAGGCGGTACTGAAAAGACCATAGGGCTTAAACTGTCAACAGGGTGTTGGGAAGGGATGGGAAGCCAAGTACACTGGATGCAAGATGGGGGAGGGCTTGTACCTTTCCGATACCCCTCCTTTTCTTTGAGATATCAAACACATTATTAGATAATCCAGAGTGGGATTACACTGCGTGGGGTGGGGGAGGCTCTGGTCTGAGGTAGTTAGATTTGGGGACAGACACTAGATGGAAGTATGAGGACTGAAAATGTATACGAAGATGGGTGAGGATTCTGGATTCCGGCATGGAGCAAAAAGAATGAAAAGGTTGAGGCATTTCAGGATGGTGACTGCGGAAGCCTTTGGGCCACTGAGGGGAGAACGAGATGTGTCTGTGGGTCTGGAAAAGTGAGTGAGGGGGTTCTGCGGGATCCCGGAGACCCGAAGGTGTAACCGGGGAGAGGAGAGAGGGGAGAGGGGAGAGAGGAGAGGTGGGGTCTGGGGAGCGAGAGGCAGAACTGGTTACAGGTT